TGAGCTGGTGTATTTCTGGGATGAAAATTTATTTTCTGAGTCCGTACAACCTTAGTGTTAAGATTATGAATCCCCCAAAATCAGGTTCTGATGTATAAAACTATTTTTTGTTGTTCGTTTGCAAACATGAGAAGCTGTTGCTAAGAAACATCCAAGCATGTCATTTTTTGTTTTCCTGTAAATTGTGTTGATATTTTTCAGAACGGATAATAGTACTGATTGATAGCACTTAAATTAATTCACTGTTGAACTGTAAGATATTTCTAAATTGCCCACAGCTGTTTGCAAAATGTGACTGTAGGTTTCAGCTGTGCTATTTCAATAAAGCTCAGGACAACAGTATTCCCCAATGCATTTTGACCTTTAGAAAGCAAGAAGACCTCACCTTACTTTAACCTTGGAAAAAAAAAAAAAAGAAACAGCCCTGAACATTGAAAGTATTGTTCAATTGATGCCATCAAGCAGGAAGTCTTTTTGAATATCAGCTAGAATATGAATATGAAGGCTTATAAAATCACCTGGGTTTAATTTCACATCTACAGAATTTAGTTTGTATGAACATGGTTTCTGCACTAAATACATATTTGAACAGATCTTGGTGTAGGTCACTGGTTTTGGCCCTTCTCTCTGTGACGTTCTCACCCTTTTAGCAGAAGGATGCAGTCAGCAGCTGATGTTTGCAAAAATCAGTTGAACGATGAATTAATGCATGCATTGGCACTGAGTTCTAATCCTTCCGAATCCGTAACGTCAGTAAATGATTTCAAAATATTTATGAAGATCTAGGAATAATCTTATCTGTATTTGCAGCTCTTATACTGTTGGGAAATAATGCTTTTATTTTCATCAAGATAGGACTGTAGTAATACAGCCTTCAGACGGTCTGACTTTTTCATCTCGGTTGCAGGAAAGACTACTGTGAAGAGTTTATTTCACTAGAGGATATGAAGCTACAGATAGAGAATTAGTAGCAGGCTTTCATCTCTTAATAACGTTGCTTGTGGAAAAAAGGTACTGCTAAAAAAGAAAAGTTAAAGTTTTCAGTTCTATGTTTTGACGTTGGAAACACCCCACACCCTCATGTTACACTATGGTAAGACTGTTAGAATAGAACCCAGGCACTTGCAGTGTAGGGAGGTTAAATAGGTCACGTTCTCCTACCTGCCAAGTGAATGTGCTGCTACCTCAGTGGCTTAACTGTTTCTTGCAGTGTGTCATATCTTCAGCTGAGTGCTCTTGCTGCCCTTAACAGGGAATTTTGCTGATTTCATAACAATGAAGCTGCCTTATTTCTGGACTTAACTGCTTTGCTTTATTCTGTGTACATTGTATACATAATCTCTTTTTTGCTTCTGTGAAGTTTTTGTGCACTTCAGTACTGGTGAGGGCTGGGGTGTAGATTTTTTTTTTCTTTTTTTTTAACAATAAATCATAACTTTACATTTAAAGTTTTTTGGGTTTTTTTTTTTCCTTAACTTTGTGTTGGAGTAGTCATGCAGCTAACGTAATGGGAAGCATTTGTTAAAATCTGGTGCCTGAAGTCCTGATGACTTCAGTTAACTTGTCAGTAAAGAGAAAGAGTTCGTTCTTGAAGAAAAGTTAAACACGATGTGAAATAGTTTCATGTCTGGAATTCAGTTGTACAGCACAATGCCATCATCAGAAGACTCCCTGAGGGATCCCATCTACCACCTCTCATCAACCAGTCAAGCATACTTCACTCATGGGTTGAGCCTGCCTGCACTGAAGCAGATGGGCTGTGGTTCCTCTCTTGTTTTGCTGGCTGTTGGTAGCGAGGACCCTGAAGAAGCAGAAATGAATAACGGGGCTTTGCATAGAGCAACTTGAAGTAGAAGTCCTTAACCTGCCTCAAAATGCAACTTCACTGTTAGAATCATCAGAAACCTACTGGTAAATGAGTTTTATTAAAGATAAACATATTTATGTGTGCAATCTGTATCTTACAAAATTAGGAAGCTTGCAATCGTTCTGCAAGCCTGGCACCAATGCTAGCAAGTATTGCGCAGAGCAGCATTACAAAAAAGAAAAAAAAAAGTGTATTTTTTGTTTGGGTAAGCTAAGACAAAGTCGTCTTACTTCCCAGAAGATAGAAAAACAGCATTTGCTGCTGTGCCTGGGCTGGGAATTCACCTTACATTTCCCATTCAGAGGCTTACTGACTTAGATTGCAAAATACCTAGGTTGCGAAATGACTGCATTTACAGATATTGAAAATTGAAGGCCAGTTTGAGGGGTAGAGCTTCCAAATTATGCTTTTGTCTTAATTGTACCAGAGCACCCAAAGTCAGAAGACAGTCTTAGGTAAGTTAAATGTACCTAGCATACAGGCAGGAATATTCCACCCTTCTTTCCTCCGTGGCAGCTTGCTCATGTCTTTGTGCAAAGGTAGCAGTTGTTGGCTGCAGCTTGCTTCTGTGGGCCAAGCACTGTGACTGGGAAAGCAATGCTTTCCAGGCAGTCAGGAATAAGCAATTCACAGTCTAAAGTTCCAGGCCAGTTCGTATCTTGTTGCAGTTATCCTCATGTTTTTGCCACTTTCAGAAAACAGTGGTTTGATGAGAATGTGAAATATCAGACCGGGTCTGAAAACTCAGAAATGCCTTCTGTGCTCCAGAAAGTTCCTTAGGTCAGTACTGTGGGCGCCTTCCAGGTCCCTGGACACAGTGACTTATGTTCTGCTGAGTTCTATCCAAGTTCAAAGGAATCATTTTCCAGCAGGGACTTGATTTAAATTAAAACTGAAGAGGAGACAGATGGGGCAGCTTGCAGCCAGCAGACAAGGAATTTAGGCTGATAGGTGCTGAAAGGTATTTAAGTCATCTGTAGGATTTAAACAGAATTGTAATAAAACAGCACTGCAGTCCCTACAGTAGCTAAGGTGTATGTTAGGTATGAGGTTCATGGATGGCACAGGCAAGTCTGCCTCATGGCTTTTGCAAAGTTTTCCTTTCTGCATTAGGATATAGATTCTCCTCATCTCAAGTTGTTCTATTCAGAGCTTATGTCCTTCTGCTCCAGGCCTGTCTCTGCAAAGTGTCTCTCACTCCTTTAAGTTTTTGTTTGGAGTCAGAGATGTCCAAGGAAAAGAAGATAGTTGCTGGTATTTTATTAGCCCTGTTTGTTACTGCACCTCTTTTACCTCATGCTCCAGCACTTCAGCCACTTACTAAGTGACAGAATGGTGAATGGGACAGCTACACATACTTGTTCTGCACAACATTTAAAGGAACTCTGTAGTTGTTAAATCACATATGAGACTGTGCAAAGGGAGGCATTCTGCATGTTCTGTCCAGAGCCTTCTGCAGAGGAATCGTGTTGGTTGTTGAACAAGGGAAGCAGGCGTCAAGCACTTTTTGACCTGGTGCAAACACAAATGGAGGATATTGGGTGCTCAAGGTGTGAACCACACCAACAGGGCTTGATGGTTAATGTGCTAATCTTACAGCTGAGCAGAGGTTTGGCTATATGGTTTTGAATTTCCCCTTCACTAAAACATTTGTTTCTGCATTACTCTCCTTCCTAGCCTGCTGGGACTCCACTGAGCCACTGTGGAAGTAGGATGGCTCATGCTCCTTAAGAGGAGTCTGTGGGAGCAAGCAAAGGAAGAATGAGCTTTCTCTGTAGCAGCATGAGAATGCACTGTTTTAAAGTGCTGCCAAGAAGGATATAGGAGCATGCAGTGGAGTTATGTTCTGTCATCTCGGATCCATCTTGTCACCCCAACACCTAGCAGTTCCTGCAGCATTTCTGGTAATGCCAGTGACCATTCCCTGTTGCGGTTTCATGCATTGGCTAGCTAAGGTCCACCGTGCTGCTCCCTTGTTCTGCATCCTCAGAAAGACAGAAGAAACTATGAAAAAAGCTCCTGGATTGAAGAAAGGACAGGGAGCTCACTCGGCCACTGTCACGGGGAGAACAGACTCAGTGCAAGGGAGATTAATGTAATTTATTGCCTATTGCTAGCAAACTAGAGCAGTGAGAACTAAAAAGCAAATTAAAATCGCCTTCCTACCTGCCTCCAACCCTCTTCTACCCTACTCCCTTTGAGCTGCACAGGGGAGCAGGGGCTGTGGACGATCCGTAACGCTTTGTCTCTGCTGCTCCTCCGTGGTTGCTCTTTGCCCCTGCTCCAACATGGGGTCCCTCCCACAGGATGCCATCCTTCCCAAACTGATCCTGCGTGGGCCTCCCACGGGCTGCAGCTCTTCAAGCACTGCTCCAAAATGGCTCAGTACCATGGGGTGTGGGTCCCCTAAGGGAGCAGTTACCCCAGCCCTCCTGTCCCACCGTGGGCTCCTTTCCACACACTGCTGCTCCTGCAGGGTCTCTCCATGGGCTGCAGGAGGACAGCCTGCTCTACTGCAGGCCTCTCCTGGGCTGCAGGGAATTTCTGATCTGTCCTGCACCTTCTGTCCTCCTCCTGCCCTGACTCTGGTGGCTGCAGGGCTGCTTCTCTCACATTTCTCACTCTCCTCTCCCAGTTGATTTTGTGCAGCTTTTTTTCCCTTCCTTCAGTCTGCTCTCCCAGAGGCATGCTCAGTGTCACTCATGGTTCAGCTCTGCCCAGCAGCAAGTTCCGTTTGGAGCAGCTGGAGTTGGCTTTAATCTGACATGCGGCAGCTACTCACAGAAGCCATCCCTATAGCCCCCTAATACCAAAACCTGGCCATACAAACCAAGCCTGTATGCTCGTGCAAAGGCACAGACCCAATCTTGTACTTCAAGATGAAGGCAGATAATCAGGCAGCTTCTCCTCTGAGCTCACTCTAGCATAAGAGCCAAAAAACTGAAGTCAGCCACAACATTTCAAACACTTCAGTCTTTGTGGAAGTTTCTCAATCTGCTTGCTATGAAGAGCAAATTTCCTGTGAAAACAAAGTACTGTACACTTTACAAAAAATTGTGTAACAGATTCATGAACTTTTAGACAGGACAAGGGCAATTCTGTGTTGAAAGTGGGCTGGTACTGGGAAATTCCCAGCCCTGGGTATCCTTTTCAATTTCCTCTTTTCTGGGCTTTAAATCCCTTATAAATACCCTTTCTGAAAGCAGACAAAACGGGCTTCACTTCACCTGGCCTCCTGGCTTTGCCTTTCTGCAGTGGTGAGTGATACTCTGAATTTATGTGATGCATGCACTGTTTTTGGTATTTGGGAACAGGACTGATGTTTTAGCATGTGGGACTTCTCTGCTCTCATGGAAGAAGCAGCAGGGAATGCTAAAATGCAGATTTCTCCTGTGTGTCTGCCTTTGTTGACGAGTCCTATGCTGAGCTCTTAGGCAGGCTCTGGGGTGGCTGCGTGAATGCTCCTGCAGCTGCCTGGGCACAGCTTTGGATGTGATGAATGAAATCTCTAAGAGGTGCTCTAGAACTGCTAATCTCTCTTAATTTCTTACAGCTCTGTGTCAGGTTTGGGCAGGGAACCATGAGGCTCTGTATCTTCTTCGTGTTGCTCTCCATTGTTCTATATGCAAGTGCTGACAACCCATTCTCCAGGGGTTTCAAGTTTATGAAGGATGCAGCTGGAGGTAAGTTGTTCCATCACCACTGGTCTTCCTCTCAGGACCCAATCCCTGAGCACAGGCTATGTGCAGTCCTCCAGTCAAGGAGGTCTGTAGCTCCACATAAGGGACCCTGTTGGTCTCTGCTTTTGGGAGAGGACCTTGATCAGCCTCCACAGGCCCTTTCAGTTGGCATCTCCCACTGGAAGGCCCATTTGGACAAGTGCCTCTGTGTTCCTTGGGTCTTTCCAAGCACAGCACAAAGAATATGGCAGGCCTGGGCTCAAGCTCAGGGACACCCCTGCATCCGAAAAAGGATTGCAGGAATAGGCACGTGCTCATGGAGCGCTTTTTGTGGACCAAGTGGGTGCACAAACCCTCTACTGCTAAAGTCTCAGAATAAAGCTGGTCCCTTCTCTAATGCACACTACAAATCTAAACTGTCACTGCCAGCTTGCTTTGAGACAGAACTCCTCCAGCCCTTGAAGCATCAGAGCCAAGCAAAGCCTCCTCCATGTCTTCATGAAATTCTCTGCAAGGAGTCCCTTTTCTTCTGCTTTGCTAACCTTCCCTCCTTTAGTAGAGGTTGATTAGAGAGGTTTTTCTGTGGAGTCCCTGGGACACATGGGGATCCCTGGGGACACGTGGGGCTTTCTGGCCCAGCAGCAGCCACGGGCTTCTGGCTGAAACGGTTGCTTGGCTGCTGCTGGAACGGGACATCAAAGTTGATGTCACCTCGTTCTGTCCTCCAGGCACACAGGATATGTGGAGAGCATACCGGGACATGCGTGACGCAAACTACATTGGTGCTGACAAGTATTTCCACGCTCGTGGCAATTACGATGCTGCCCGGCGAGGACCCGGTGGTGCTTGGGCAGCCAAAGCGATCAGGTAACGGCATCCATCTCGTTAACAGGGAGTAAGTAGGGATCCAGGCGCCCCAGTCGGAGCGAAATCCTTCTCGGTACACACAAAGCTCTGCATCCAGAAGGGGAATGGAGGGAATGTTGTTCCAGGAGGGAGGGAGCCGGCACGGGGCAGGACCGTGGCTGGCAGCAGGGTGCCGGCGGGGTGCCGGCGGTTCAGGCGTGCTGTCCTTGCAGCGATGCCCGGGAGCTCTGGCAGAGCGGTATAAGCGGCAGAGGCGCGGAGGACACCCGGCTCGACCAAGAGGCCAACGAATGGGGCAGAAGAGGCGGTGATCCCAACCGCTACAGGCCCGCAGGCCTTCCCAAGAAATACTGAACTTGCTCCGTTCCCCTGTTCCCCCTCCCTTGTGCAGACCAATAAAGAAGCTGCTGCGTTTCCAGGACTCGCTGTCATCTGCTTTATCTTGCGTTCGAGCGTCTTCTCCGGGGACGGGAGGGAGGCGAGGTGGACTCGGAGCCCCGGCCGGCAGGTGGCGCTGTGGGGGCGCCGTGGGGCGCCGTGAGCGCAGGCGCCGCTCTGGCCGCCGTCTCGTTGGTGCCGGTGAGGCGGCGGGGCCTGGCGCCATGGATCGCAACCCATCGCCGCCCTCCAGCGAGGCGGAGGAGGAGGGCGACGCGGTGGGCAGCACGGTGTACAGCAAGCATTGGCTCTTCAGCATCCTCACGCGCCTCATCGAGGTGCGGAGCGTGGGGCGGGGCGAGGGTTGAGGCGCGCGGCTCCGGAGTGGGCAGCGCGTGAGGGCCGTGAGCGGGCCCGCTGCCGTGACCGGGAGCCGTCAGCCCGCTGCGAGGGCGGGACACGCCGCTCCTTGGGCTTCTGGCGGTTCTTCGTCCTTCTCGTGGCCTTTAATCCCCCGCCCCCCTTCCAGCTCATCAGCCCCGAGAAATCCGAGCCCAGCGGGAACCCCGAGGGGATCCAGACGGAGCTGGATGAGGAGATGGAGAACGACATCTGCAAGGTGTGGGACATGTCCATGGATGAGGTAGGAGCTGGGCGGTGCGGTCGCACTTCTGCCGTGTTACCGCTGCCCTTAGTTTTATCCGTCTGAAGTCTTGTGGGAAAGAGTTGAGTGGAGGTGCGGGCTGAAGGTGTTTCAGGCGGTTCCGCCCCTCTGCTTCGGCTGGCAGCGTCCTCGGTGTCTCCCAGCAGAGCAGGTGAGGTGCCCGGCACCGAGGAAACAACGCAACACCTTTGTTGGTAGGAATTCAGAACCCGTGTCAGAATGATGCATGCTGTGAACTTTCGAATGTTCTTGCATATTTCATAGTTGTGAATGACAAGTATGCTATGAGATAAAAAAGAGAACATGGTGGTTTATTATTGTTAATGCAGCAAGTAGGAAAAAAATATTTTGAGGATGAAAGATATAAAATCAGAGACAGGAATGGTATAACAATAAAAAGTTTACTGAGAATACTGTAGGGCAGGAAAATAAATAGTGCTTATAATCCAGGAGGCGATGCCGTTTCTTTTCTTGTGTGTTAAGATTTCTGCCCGTCTGACCTGTCTCATTGCCTCATTGCCTTAAGCTGTGGAGACACAAATGCTTTTCAGGGCTTTAGTGTATGCCAAATCAAAGATACTCCAATTGTAGAAGTGGATGAAGTGTAATAGGAGATGGGAAGGAACAGAGGGGAGACCTGTGCTGATTCTCCTTCCCAAGAACCAGATTATGTAAACTCTCCTTCCAGGGTCTGGCGCAGTTGGGACTGTTTGTCTAAAATTTACTGCAACTTCTTGTATGTTTTCTGCATTGAATAATTCAGAGTCACTAAGATTAATCCCTAGCATTTTAGTATCTTGCAAAATGTTCTTCCATGGTACTGTACAAACAGGAGGGGAATCAACTCTTTGAAAGGGTAGAAAACTGCAGAACAAGGGGAAATGGTTTTAAGTTGAGGGAGGGAAGATTAAGGTTGGATGTTAGGGGGAAGTTCTTTACAGAGAGAGTGGTGAGGTGCTGGAACAGGCTGCCCACAGAGGTTGTGGATGCCCCGTCCCTGGAGGTGTTTGAGGCCAGATTGGATGGGGCCCTGGGCAGCCTGGTCTAGTATTGAATGTAAAGGTTGGTGGCCCTGTGTGTGGCAGGGGGGTTGGAGATTCATGATCCTTGAGGTCCCTTCCAACCCTGGCCATTCTGTGATTCTGTGAGGAGACTCAGTGCTCTCTTCAGATAGAACAAATGCTTTGTGTGCTTCTGAGCCCAGCAGCAATATGGAAAAGCCTTCTGTCAGTCCTGGCTTCTGGCCCCCTACTGTGATCTGCCTGAGCTGCCCTCCAGGCGTCCCTCGCATTGTGCCTTGGCTCAGCTGGCAGCAGCAGGGCTTATTCACACAATGAGATAAATGCCTCATTTTTTGTAGCGAGTCATTGATGCAGTCATTGATCTGTGAGAAAAGGTTCGATTTGTGTTCTGAAATTGTAAAATGGGTAGGTTCATTTGCTCTGTCCTTCTTTTTCTCTGCAGGACGTTGCTTTGTTTCTTCAGGAGTTCAATGCCCCCGATATATTCATGGGAGTTTTTGCCAAATCCAAATGTCCTCGTCTGACTGTAAGTATGGGCTGTCAAAAACTGGCCTGTACTAATAGTAACAGCAGACACCTCTGTGCCAGCATTCCTAAACAGCTCCCACCTCCCACTGCGCTTTTGAAGAACGAGGAGAAAACACAATTTAATTTTAGGATGCTTTTTAGCACAGTGTCTTCAATATGGTCCAGTTAGCAGCTATTTTAGTGATGATGAAGCTGATACACATCATTACTAATGGTATCAAACCTATTATATGGCTCATCTGTAGAGGGGGAAATAAGAGTATATTGTTGTCCCTAGGGCTCTGTTATTGCTTTGATAATAGCAATGCTAGTCTAACTTCCAAACAATGTATATGTGCCTTGCAAGCGAACTTCTATTTCAAGGTATATTTGCTTTTATGAAGTGCCTGAACTGTGCTAAATATCTGAACAGTACTTGTTGTGTACTTCAGTCTAGCCTAACAACGTCCCTTAGGAAATCTGTACCTATCTAGACATTGCTAAGTCAGAAGTATTTGAAAACCAAACTGGAAAGCAGCTTTGAACCTTTCTTATGTCTTATGGCTGTGGAAATAAAATTGTGAACTGTGTTGCAGATATTTCACTGTACTGTGCATTGATTTTTCAGGAGATCTGTGTGGGAATACTGGGCAATATGGCCTGTTTCCAAGACATATGCATGTCCATTAGTAAAGATGAGAATCTCGGGTAGGTGTGTGTGTACTTTATACAAGCTAAGTACTGCTTTTATGAGCTCTCACATTGTATACTACAAAAGGAACTAAATTTCCTTGCACTGCCTTTGTTCACACATCTTTGGCAAACCCTTAGCGGTTGGAAAGTGTTCAGTGAAGATGAAATGAATGCTCACTTGATGTTATTGATGTAATGTTTTATAGCCACTTGTCCAACTCTTGCATTTTCAATCTCTGAGCCTGGCAATCTTGAAGCACCGGTGATGCATGCATTGTAAGGAAGAGCTAGTTTTAATCATAGTGCACTGCTGCAGCTATGAAATTAAGTTTGGAATGTATGTTTTTAAAAAGGCATTAGAAGTTTTTTTTCTTAATATTTTTATCTTGGATTTTCTACTTAAAGCCAGGTGTTACTGCAACGTTTGTGTGATTCAGACTCTCCAACTCTCCTGGAAACAAGCAGGTAGGACATCTCAGAAATTAACATATCCTTAGTGTAATTCTGCTCTGTTCTGAGGTCCTGGGAAAAAGATTGGCAAGCGGGCTCATAATTTTAATGTCTTCCCATCCTATCCTTTTGTCATTTCCACTTTATTCTGGAATTGATTTTCTGTGGCTCGGTTCCTGTCTTCTGTCACTTCATGCTTGTTATGTTGGATTTACACTTGTACAGCTAAGATCAGTGATCTGGCTTCTGATCTGTTACAATCTGTGGGCAATTTCTGCCTAGGCTGTTGCTGACTTGCCTCTCCCAACCTGAGGTGGCCAACGTTTGGGTTGAGAGGATCCGAGACAGCCCTTCAGTGTATGACTGTGTTTGCTTTATCATGTCAAGCTCTACAAATGGTGAGTTGCCACTGAGAATGAATGTTTTGCATTCATGTTTTGCAGAAAAGATAAGAACTGCACTATGCAATTACAAAGCCACATGTTTTCATTTGGGAGTACGAGATATCTTCATCTTTAAAGGAAGCCTCCTGAATTCGAAAGACACCAACATAAATCTGTCCCTCCTTTGCAGGATTTATAATTACACATATATAAACTGAATCACAGAATGGCCAGGGTTGGAAGGGACCTCAAGGATTGTGAATCTCCAACCCCCCTGCCACACACAGGGCCACCAACCTCCCCATTTAATGCTAGACCAGGCTGCCCAGGGCCCCATCCAACCTGACCTTGAACATTTCCAGGGACGGGGCATCCACAACCTCTGTGGGCAGCCTGTTCCAGCACTTCACCACTCTCTCTGTAAAGAATTTCACCCTGACATCCAACCTAAATCTTCCCTCCCTCAACTTAAAACCATTTCCCCTTGTCCTGCAGTTATCAACCCTTTCAAAGAGTTGATTCCCCTCCTATTTGTAGGCTCCCTTTAGGTACTGGAAGGCTGCAATGAGGTCACCCTGCAGCCTTCTTGTGCATGTACAGGACTCCAGCTAATTTAGCTTTTAGAATTTGAAAAATGCCAACTTCATGTTGTTTTTTTGTTTGTTTTTGATGACTCAGAAGTCATGCTTGTTCCCACTGGAATCCCAGATCTACTCGAGTAAAATGGAGGTGAGCAGGCAAAAAATACATTTTTAGGGACAAATTTTGTCATGTTTTATGTCAGAATCAGAGGTTTTGACTTCTCAGAAACCTGAAGTCCCTTTACCAAAAAAAGATCCTACTTTATAAATGGCATGATGGGGTATAATGTATCAGTGGGCTTTCCAGCAGTCCCTATCTATCAAGCTTTTCACCTCATTTGTGCCACAAAAAGCACATGAGCATAGCAACCCTTAGGAGATAATGAATGAAACAGATGTATTTCTGCACTTAATTTATTTGGATACTTTTGTGTGTTAGCATTTTGTGAACTAATTTCTGCTCTTTATTTGCTTGATTTTTGGTTTCTTCTTTTTTGTGCAGTTGAATTGCTGGTAAAAGTGGGCGAAGTGGTGGACAAACTCTTTGATCTGGATGAGGAGGTGATGTTAAACTGGATTAAAAGTGGCACTTGTCAGCCTGTGGGACCATCTACAGATGACTCCCCTGAAGAGCTTCCAGACTTTAAAATTGTGCCTTGTATACTTGAAGCAGCCAAACAAGTCCGGTATGTGAGAGTTCTGTCTGGATTTGTAACCCTGTGTGTTAGCTTGGTAATCTAATC